CGCGCCGACTGTCGCGCACCTTTTTTTCTTCCTCTTCTTCTTCTGCCGCTGCAACTTGTGTTGCTGCTGCTGCTGCTGCTGAAGCTGCTGCTGGCTGCTTCTGCCACCGTCGCCGCCGCCGCCACCACCACCACCGCCGCCACCACCATCACCACCACCGCCGCCACCACCACCACTACCACCACCACCATCAATACCACTACCGCCACCATCACCACTACTACCACCACTACTGCTACTGCTACTTCTACTATTATTGCTACTACTAGTACTACTACTATTACTACTACTACTACCACCACCGCCAATACCACTACTGCTATTACTACTGCAACCACCACGATTCTTATTCACGTTGTTTTCACGCTCACGATTTTCGTTATGTGAAAAACCGAGTCGTTGCCGATTATCATTACCTTCGTTCTTTCCATCGACAATTCTATCAATTTTGTCGTCCATGTTATAACCATTGGTACTATTTGTTATCGGCTGATATTGATTGTCGACTTCGTTATAACGTCGTTTTATTCTTTCAGTTCTAAACTTGTCCTGCTCTACAAATGCTAATAATTCATCCGTTACGCTATCTCTTGTGTCAAGTCTGTTGATACTTGTTGTCGGTGTACCTTTGGTAACATCTGGTGGACCTACGTAATTTCGATCATCGTCGCAGAGAGCCGCTTCAATATCTTCCAGACTGTAAGGCGAAAAGGAATTGTAATCGGTCGATGATGAACCGCGATTTTCATTAACCACCATTTTAGCGTTATACCGATAATAATCTTCTTGAGTATCTGTATTATTAACGGTTACACATGACAGTGGCGCAAGACTGGCTAAGAATTGTTTACGTACATCAGAATTATTTATTTTTATCGAGCTTTTCGATTGCTGACTATCTTTGAGGATATTATTGTTTTTACCATTATTTCCGAGGCCTAAATCAGGTAAGTTGGTATGAATACTTCTCTTATGTACAAACAGATCTGTCAATTTCTTATAAGTCGACTGGCTATGAATATTATCTGATACTGCGCTATTACCAGCCGAAGAATTTTGCTTATAATAATTAGAGCCTGTCACCGCCGTTGTCATGGTTGTAGTTGTTGTCGCTGTATTTATCGCTAACGACGAGCTTGGCGTGATCATCGTTGCCATTGCAGTTGTAGCGATTATGTCGGTGGTGGTGCCGGCAATGGTAGTGGTAGTATTTATTGTTGTCGTTGTATCGGATAATGCCTTGAATTTCATAGGAAGGTGTATGGATGTCGGCAACGCCGCTATCGTTGACATTTCGTCGATTGCGGTTGTATTACGGATAAATATTTCAGAGGATGATGGCGAAGTTTCTTCGTGTCCTCGTAATTGCCGGTTATCCATTTCCATACACGTCAGCGAGTCTATGTCCTTTTTAATATAACTATTAGAAATATCATCCTCTTCTTGGTCCACACAAGTAAGTTGACGTATTCGTTCCTCTAATGACAAGTTTCTCGAAGGGGGGATTTTCTTTCGAGAATTTGTACGATATTTATCAAGAAGACTTCTTCGAAGGGTATTCCTTTCGATGGTCCTTTTAATTGGATTCATCGACTCGTCGTTGAGAGAAGTAGCTGAATTTTCCGAATGATTTTTCGATCTCTTTGTAAGATCGAGGAATCGTAAATTTTCCGTGTTAACGAGAAACGCTAATCCATCTTGCGGACTATCGGGAGCATGCGTAGAAGCAAGTTTGCCAAGGGGAGCCGGCGGTGGCGAAACGAACTTTGGATTTGGAAATAATTGTCTAACTGCGGAATTTGGCTTTAGGCTGTTACCAGTTAAACTGGAATTACCCAATTTAAATACAAGAGAAGGCTCTTTTATATCAGATGGTGTTTGGTTTTCACCGATGTGTCCTTCAGTATCGTTTACCGTTTTCTTAAGCAAGGTTTTCTTAAGCAAGGTACTATTACGTGGATCAGTGGAAAGATTACTACAACGGATTATTTCCTCATTGTGTCCGATAGATTGGACCTGATCGTTATCACGAATCGTGTCACGGTTGTTGCTCGCATCCCGATTAACTGTCATTTCTGTGCCACGAGAAGCAATGTTTCTCTGAGAAATGTTCTTACGACTAGCAGCACTTTTCCTTGCATGTTGCAACTTGATATCTTCTTCTTCGCTGATTTCTCGTACAATACGACGTTCGGTAACGGTTGTCATAGTTATCGTCTCCACGAGGTATCGATGTCGGGATTCTACGAAGAGACAAACGGTTCGTATATGCGTTTTTCCATCAATATTTGCAAGGGACGAAGGAAAGATGGAAAGAAGGAAGAACCGATAATATATAATATATTCGTATAAACTATACCATTAGGCGTGGATTTTTCCAATTGTTGCTCCGCTTTCCGTACATGCCCATCATAACCATCTTGAGTTATTCCATGCTCGCATTGCGATTCTCCTTCGATCTCTTGCCCTATAAAATCACATCGTTACGTTATTATTCGATTAGCTTCGTTTCAATGTTGGCCATGTAGAGGAAATGCGCCTGGATATACGCATGCGCGACTATTATCTAAAGCAACAAGTACGAAAGAAATAAGAGACCTAGAATGGATCAGTGCTAGTTAAGAATGTACGCGTATTCGCCCTTTCTGCCTAAAGGATGGAAAGACCGGAGTCACGGTACACTGTACATCCGGCAAGGGCTGGCGATTCGTGGAGTCGGCGTTCGCGCGACAGTTATGCGCGATGAATATTTACGCGTCTTTTGTTCCATGGCCGTGGACAATGGTCCTCCTTTTGGATAACGACAATAAAATATACAATCTTTGTATCGGATTGTCCCCGATTTGAAACTGCTATTGGAAATATCATTATTGCAATTATGTTATTAATTTATATTTTATGGGTTAGTAACGCTTAGATAGAAATAGCGAGTAGAAGAAAATGTTTCTTGACATCATAAGATGCGTGTAGGCACGATGTTACCATTGTATCGTAATTAATATCGTATCAACTGTGGGATATTACTAAGCGTTAACGTCAACCACAAATTATGAAACATCATTTTTTATACTCTCCCGAGATAATACATCTCGGGAATAGAATAAATAATATAGGGGCAAAACGTAAAGAAGATTATTTCGAGATAGGTACATATTACTCGTACGTGTTATCGTGCATTTTATATTAAGCAAACGAATATCGAGGAAACGGAACTATTACCAACTATTTACGGAATATGTAGTTTCCTTATATCGGCTTGAATCAGTATTACCCTTTTTCGTATTTTAAATCGCAGTTGTAATTAATTCCAAATAAAATGGGAAATAACATAAGGAAGATTGTTTCTGTTAGTAGGAGACGATGGAACAAACTCTCAGATACTATTTCTTCTAACCGATATAATAACGATATAATTAGCGATATAAATAACGATATATTACCTGTTGTTCCTTGCAAGCGAAGATAATTTAAGGACGATTCTAAGCAGCATTCCGCTATGTTAGAAAATTCTTCATTCGAATAAACATCTTTGTAACCTTCTGGTGGACTGAGTGTTTCTTGTTGATGTTCTTGCGTTGGAAGCGTTGGCGATGTCGGTCTATCTATCGATGATTGCGACGATGATGGCTGTGTCATCGTCTTCGTTGTGGTCGTCGTGGTTGTGGTCATGGTCGTGGTCGTTGCTGTTGTTGTTGTTGTTGGTGGTGGTGGTGGTGGTCATTATTATAATCTTTGTTATTATTCTTTTTAGGTATTATTATTAGGTATTATTTTCGTTATCTTTAAAATATTTCCCCCAATAGATTTTATTTTATTTTATTTCAAATATTTCCTCGTTCTATAAATGTACCCATGATTTAAGGTGGTGATAGTGACGGTGGATGAAGCGACGACGACGAAGACAATGGTGGGGAAAGAAATTCAACTGCTCGTTTATAACTGGCCATGTTCTTTGGTACATCGACTTTATCCCATTTGTTTTTGTCCCGTACATTGGTCGTCTGTGCTACCTTTCCTATCGTCTCCTCTACCATTGATTTTCTTTCTTCCGTTTCCGTATGTTTACGCATTTCAACCCTTTTCTGTACTACACGTTCCTTTCTTCCTTCAACTTCCTCTTTAATTTCTTCCTTTTCCTCTAATTCTTTGGCTTCCTCTTCATCTCCCTTTTCTATTTTTTCCTCCTCACCTTGTATTTCTACTTCATATTCTTCATCGTCTTCGTGCCCTACGTGCAGTTCCACACAGCCGAATCCTTCACTGCCGCAACTTTGTCCCCTGAAAGCGTTATCGTGTATCATTCCTCCATCTCTTTCCATATCGTGATACGGACTGTTGGATACACCGAAATGAAGATTCAATTCGGCACGACATTCTTTACAGCTTCCTAAACGCATCAATTCGTGTTCTTGACAACAACAATCGCAATCCTCTTCGTAATCGGTACAACACTCTTCCTTTATCAATATTATATAATCAGCAGCAAAAAATTCGTTCAACTTTTCGTTTATTACAACTCGATTTTTCTGCGATCTACTTTTAGATTGACCAGGTTTTTTTAATAAAGACTTGAGAATCTTCGCAGGCTGCTCCGCCGGAAGTTTGCTTCCGTGCTCCTTCATTATTGAGGCTTCTTTCTTCCTTCCTCTTCACGTCTCTTTGTATATACTTATCTGTGCTACAGTACTCTCACCCCTCTCTCTCACTCGCTCTCTCTCTCTCTCTCTCTCTCTCTCTCTCTCTCTCTCTCTCTCTCTCTCTCTCTCT